AATGCCTTTTAAGAGTACCCATTACGCTGTGAAACGCAATGTAAGGCATGGCATGTGGACTATTTGGGCTACTGTTTTTCGCTAGTTGCAAATCTTGACCATTGACGAAAATCATAAATTGTGGAAGTTCTTTTACGCGATTTTGTAAAAGTGTGCAAAAAGCTCATAATAAAAGCAAATGCTTTCACCACATCAGATGGAATGATCCAATTGTGTGCCACCGACTAAACATGCACACAATCCGCTGTACACGCAAAAATCACATATTTTCCTTAGCACAAGAAGCGCAGTCAGCAGCAGTGCCTCCTCCGGTACTGATCACTTATCGTATAATACATGAACGTACATTGTTTAGTGCTAAACTCGCTCAACAGCACCCGGCCAATTATTAAAATGCTGAAGCGATTCGATCGCTCACTAACTACACCCAAACGAGGGTTAAGCAACTGAAACATGAAATCGGAATAGTTAGATAAATCTTACGTTGACCTTTAACGTCTAGCAACGATACTGCAAGGCGGTGTACGCACGCAAGCAGTTTTGCCTAAAACTCTGTGCTTACGAAACTGCAATATACTTTTGATATCAAAACTCTAGAATTGGCAAATTGCACTTTTATTATAAAAGAACTAATGTAGTTATTCACACTGCCAAGCTTTTGTTGCTCTTGTGTGTACTGTGACACATTTCACTTCTGAGAACTTTTCTAACGTGTCACAAAGTTAGCATCTTCATATTTCTCCCCCTGCTCCTCGCCTTTCTCGCAAACATTTTGCAAATGTAATTTGAAGTAATTGAAGCCCAACAAAACGCCTAAAAATAACAAAATCACAGTTTTCCCAAGTAAAGTACCCCCTTGCCAACTTGCGTAACGTAATAAACAGTGTTCTTGCTTTACATCAGCTCCAAATGTTCATGGAAGGGTTGTCCCACATAAAAAATATACACGTAAAGTAGTAATGGTGACACCAGTAGTTGGGGTATTAACAATCTCTCAATGGCGGAATGGGGAGGCAATAATGCAGGAACTTGTCCGTTTGTATATCTGTTTGGAGGAGGGTTAATGTGTTTCTAGTACTGCCTAAGAAAATGTTTGATGGTCATTTTACTTTGTGTAATATTATTGTCGAGTAGGCATTTTTGAGGAACTGGATGTACTGGACACAATATAAATACCTTTTGTTTTCAAGAAATTTGTCGGATTTTCTCACCTAATATACATACGTATACGAGTACATATTAAGGAACAAAATTTGTGTAGTAAGCAAAGTTTATTTGGGAGAAATATCACACCAACGCAAAGTTTTATCACTTTTAAAGTATTTCTTATATAGTATCAAAATTCTGTGAAATTAAAGAAATTCTAAAAAATCGGATATCAAGCATAGCATCAGTGAAATCATTTCAATAAAATATCGGTCATTAAGAAGGTTCTAACCGACATACCAAAAACAAATCCAACCGATGATTTTATAAATGAAAAAAGATATATTTTGACTGAGCAAAGCACAAAAATTCAAATAGAAAATGTTCTGTACTGGTACAAAAATGTACCAGTCTCTTTTTTGAGACTGGTCTTATCGGATCCGACCACCTTTATTTATATTGTAATGTTCACAAGATATATACATTATATTTATCATGACAATAGTATCGTACATTCAAAAAACATTATTCTCTGTCTGGACTGCAGTCTGTTACTTTAAAGTATCGCTAATTAACTTTGTCTGATAATAAGCCCGTTCAATAAATTTATAATTGATGCTAGTTAGGATAACATTAAGATTACATAGAACTGCACAAAAGATCTTTCAGGTCGCATTGCATAACCTAATAATAAATAAATAATAAATAAATTATTAACATACGGAATGGTGAAGAGGATGCCAATATTACTAATATACTTTTATTTGTTCATAATCACTAATCGTACTATCCACCATACTTTTTTTAAGCTACTTTCTCAAAGGAGATCAGTAAAATTTGAGATTATCATATAACAATTTTTTTCTCTCCTACTGCTTATAATCTATCAATAAAGTACTCGATAGATTAAAGTAGGTTACAAATGGCTAATTGAAGCGATCAAATTCATTATGAAAATAAATTTATTTCATATACAAATCCGTAAATATAACTGTAGTGCTTCTTTGTGGGTACTAAATATATTGCATTAATAGATGTTAGTACAAATCTTAATATTTAGATTATTTTGGGATACAGTAGCATTATTCCAGTATCATTATTGAAACTTATACAGTTAAAGTTTAATTTAACGAGAACTATGTCCACAAACAGATCAAGGTAGAATCCACTATTGATGTCGATTATAAAGTGAAAGAAATTTAAGAGAAGTAGAATATTTTGATGATATAACACCTTAAATATTCCACAAAAATAATGTAGATCATTACGACTTTCATACACGAGGCTACAAAAAATAATATAAACTATTATTATTATGTTATTATATCAATATATATAAATATGAAATCGTGATATTGCGCAACCTGCAAAACAAAGCAGGTAATATATCGACAAAAAGTATCAACATGTATAAGTTCTTACAAGTAATAATTTTGAAAAAGTCAGAAGTAAACTATCGATTTATAAACTTCCAATTTAGCAAACGGACTATATAAACTAGCAATCATTCATTAGATTAGACGTCTGCTCGGTATATAATTATGAGATTATAGCATAATGACAAATGTAAATCAACGTTTTTATGTTAGAAAATGTAATTTATTGTATTTTATTTTGTTTAATTGCTTTACATAAATAAATAATAATTAAATTTATTTATTTATATTTAATTTACTTAATTCAGTAATACACTGAATGATCACAATAATATTCAATTATATATTATAAGGTGCAGTCCAATGTCGAGTAACTGGTTCTCTTTAAATAATAAATATTATAATTAAAAAAATAGATATAACAAAAAATAGAGATTCTAAACGTTAAAATTTACGAAACCATAGCACTAGTCAACCGTAGTCAGTTACACTCTGATATTTTCAAGTATTAGCACTCGGAATTACTATATAGTTTATGTATTCGAATATTTTTCAATAAAATTGCTTTTTTTTATCAAATTTATTTAAGACTTTAATTGTATTTATAATATACTCAATCCTTCATATTGAAAAAAAGCAGCACAAAATAATCATTACTTTAGGTGGCAACACTGAAGCTGTAGTCAAATATATACAGAGAATGGAATATAATAACAAATTATTTTCATGATATATTATCAGAAATATCTTTATATATAAACTTAAATTGAAATTTAAAAAAACAAAGCTTAACATATAAGTACTAAGAAACTATTAACCGAATATAACTATATTAACTATTAACCGAAAATTATTTACAATAGACGATTTTAAAGAAGTTGAATCAAATAATCTATCGGTTTAATAAGAAGCCCATAAATGATGACTGCTAATATATTAATAATAAATAATTTATTATTTTAAATTATTAAAAATAAATTATCTTATGTTAGTTTTATGAAAAAAAGAAATTAATCCATAGTTAAAAATACATATTTAATCTTTAAATAAACTATAAACAAACATAAACTATAAGACATAGACCCTGAATGTACTAGCATACATTAGAATTGGCAAGGCAATTACTCATAAAGTAGAAAAAGGCTAGAAATCCACTACTTGGCCCCACACAATTCCTTGCAAAAATTACATATTGATATTGGCAACGCAAAAGTGGAAGATATTTAACTCTAATTTTAGTTCAGACTTAAGGGATTTTCAAATTATCATACATTGTCACAATACTGAAATTAGAAATAGATATAATATCAGGAACTTAAAATGAATTCAGTGTGGCTTTATAGTAGAACACTGCAAATATTTATATAATATAACCTAGATTTGTATTCGAACGAATGTTGGCAATTTTGTGAACTGACATATAAGGACCAGTAGAGCTACTTACTGAGAGCAACATCTTAGATGAGAATAGATGTAAGCATTTTAGTTCAAAATTACTAAAACGATGTGTAGAATTTAACACTAGGAACTGGTCATAAAGTATATTAACAGAAAAAGATACAGTACTATTAACACAGAGAGTGTGAATTCTAAAAAGAATGCAGTGCATTGCAAACATACCATAACATTATATAATATATACAATATATAACATATATAAGACTAAGTACATATATTTTTAAAATATAATTCATGTGGAAAATTAAACAACACTGGACCTGCGATTATTTAAAAATTACATTAACTCGAAAACATGAAAACAATCTTCCAAGTAAAGAAGGGGAATTATAAAAAATATGAAAAAGTTTTTTGTAACTGCAATAGTTTTTTGCCATCTCCAATCAAAAAACTCAAAGTACATTCTTCTCTGATACTTACACTTTTTCAGCTATTTTTCAGGGTATTTTCCATTATCAAAAATGGATTATCATGTGAGAAATAGAAAAGCTTCCGCAAGGTCTCTGAAAGTATAGGTATACCTTATCTATAATATTGTGCATTAAAAGTAATTTTAAACTCTAGTTGACAATAATGTAATCGAAATTTTATTAACCAACTGTTTCGATATGTTTCGATCACTTTATATATTTATATATCTCCAATCTACAATATTATATCGTCAAGGTATATATAAAAATTCACATGTAGTTTTATACGATATATTATCATGAAAGTATCAGAGAGATCAAATTGTATTTAGAAGTAGATTTTAGTGGCATTTTCAAACTATGTCTTTACAAACTTTTTATTATCTAAACCATAAATATTATTTCTAACGTCAATTGTATTCAAATAAATTGATTTACACACAAAATGACTAAGGAACATATACGCTATATTCTTGACTCCATTTATACATTTACACAGCACTTTTTAGCTCAATGTACGCAAATATTAAAATGTCACAAGAAATCACAAGCGAGTTCTATGGCAACGTGGGATTTTATGAAGCCCCAAAAAGAGTGCTTAATGCGTTGAACTGGAGGTTGACTCGTATAAAGCAGCTAAAGTAACTATATACAACCTAGATAGCTATAATCCAAATCAAACAAAAACTCACGTCCGCAAAAAATTTAAAACCCAGCAACATAAAAAATTAAACTATATATGCAGTAAAAGATATTTATACAGCAACCTATCTAGTTAGTGTATGTAATATAGGAAACTGAATTCATAGTCAAAGTTTCGTGTTTGTCAAATTTTGACGTGTTCTTCGATATCTGCTGTCATTATTTTCTGAGTTGCTTCTAGTGTGAAGACGTCTTTAAAAGTTTCCATATTTTCATCGACTTATTGAGAATAAAAAGTGAGTACAAAATATTTATGGATCTATTGAAATTTTAAAAGATCACATCTTTTTTTAATTACAATCGAAATAGTCATGAATGGTCAAAATAAAATGGATGGTTCTTCATCAAAGGGAATTAAACGTACCGCACGTATGCTTTCGCCTTGTGAAAAACTAAATGCCGTGTCTCGTATACGTAATGGTGAGACGAAAGCATCCATATCTCGTGAAATTGGTGTACCGGAGTCAACGTTGCGGGGTTGGTGTAAAAATGAGCAAAAACTGCGAGAAACCTGCAGTCAAATGACTTCCAATAACGTCACCGTATCTGGTATGGAAAATTATCAAGTAAAACGTCAAAAGTTACAATCTCAAATACCTACATTATCATATCCAAACCCTATGTTGGATGGTATAAATACTAACCTTGTTAACAATCCATTTAGTTTAAATGGGATCTATTCCACTCCTAATAACAACGGTTTTGGGACTGACTTTGGGAATGATTCATTCAAAAACTTTCTAAACATGTCCAGTGTACCAAATGGTTCTGCAGCGTCTAGTTCTGATGCAGGTATGCAACGTTCTATAAACGATATGGTTAATGTGGGTCAACCAAGTGAAGTTCAGACTTCTAATCTACCATATGATCTAACATCAATTTTCAATCCGACGCCAGAATCGGAAGGTGAAAATAAAGCTTTCTTAGTAGAATGGTGGAAAGTTTTTTACACCAATTTGTCTCTATTGGGTAGTACAATCTATACCACCCCATCGAAAGATGAACAAGAAGACATGCAAGCAAACGTAATGGGTAAGGAACAGACTTCAAATAATGGTCAAGATTTTCAGCAAGAAAACTATCCTACCCCACCGAAAAGTCTTGAATGAATTCTTCAAAACTTGATTAACCAATTTTCTAATTCAAACTTAAATAAATAAATTACTCAATCAAAGCATAAGGTAATTCACAAATATATGTCAAAGATAAAATTTTGATTTGCAAATTTTTTAGTGGCAAAATATTGAAAAAAATGTAATTGTGAAGTTCATTCAGCGGAGCCTTGAAGTTTTAACTAATTACCAAAGCTGCCACCCTAATTAACAAATTCATTGAAAAACCATCATTTGATTATTATATGAAAACCATTATAATTATTTAACATATAAAAATATTGAATTACCTTATTTACCTTAAATTAACTTACCTTATGAATAAACACAACTAAATAACTATAAAATATTAATTTTTGGTTAGATTAGCCATATTTTGTAGGTACTATATATATTTTAAACACCAATGTACTTAAGTGAAATTGGGATACGAATTTAAATTTTAAAAATATAGAATTCTTATTTAGGTTCAAAATTTTATAACTTGTTTTATAAACATCTATGTTAAAATTTTATAAATTCTCAGAATTATTTGTAATCGAGATGCTCCTTTAATGCAGTCGAGATTAATTTGTGACACTCTAGATATTTTGCCAGAGTAGCAAGATTACCCTGAAATTAACAACTGTTTTATATGATTTGACAAATAAAATGTGATTTGATTTAATATATGTATTAATGAAAAATATGACTGTCTACTAATACTACTACAAAAATATTAGATTACCCTAAAAATGTTTAATTGGGCAACAAAATTTGACAGATCGAGAGTAAATCTAGATTGAATCCAGATTTACCAATCGAAAACGCCATATATAATTCTTCTAGAAAATGTAGATATGCTGACTTACAATTTGCCACCAAAAATGAACATTAGCAAAAAACCTCATTATTATATTTCCTTATAATAATTATCAACAATTCTTACAAAATTACACGCGTTTCCTTAAACTCCGGAAAATGTAGGAATTCGATTATTAAGAGTATACAAAGTTGGTTGTGTTGCTTTTTTGGCATTTTTTCTCCAAAATATATGTATTAAAATTGTAATAATTTACTACTAAAAGGCTCAAATTCTAATATTTATTACTGCACAACACTGTTTTGACCAACGTGACGAGGCACAAAATGCCTAACTGCGGTACCGGATGGTTTTTTTGAGAGTTGCCACCTTGATATTGTAGAGGCTATTTCAAATTACCTATTTTCTCTATTGATATAATAATAATATAACACAAGTGATTGATTCAGATCCACCTACTTTTAATAGTAACTATGAGTCTAATCATGGCAACAGCAACAATTATAAAATGTAGTCTATTATTCTCCTTTTCTTTTGGTTTTTAATCTGGAGCCGCAATCATCTTTTCATTTAGGGTCTTTAGCAACCAAGGCTTAAAGTTTTTATTTTAAAAGGTTAATTATATTTATATTATTTTAAGAGATACAATTTTTTTTTTGAATATTTTTTTTTTGTAAACTTAATATGAAAAAATAAATAAACTTTTTTGCAGTAGACGTCTTTCTTTGAATTCTTTTTCTATTTTATCAGAATTTTGTATCCTAAAATCAGTCTACAGAACTTAAATTATTTTAGGAAATACGTACTTGAAAAAAATTTTAGCGGGAAATAAAAAAAACCCCACGCAATAATTAAGGCAACATTATACAAAAATAATACCATATTATACAAAAAAATTGGAACGGGAACGGTGAGAGTAGTTTTTTAGATGATGATGTATTAGAATTAGAAATTAGATTATAGACATAAGAAGCCGATAAGATCATTTTTTTTTTCATAAAGAGCTGTTGAAATGAGTTATATATATTTACAACAATGATATAATTTTTTTTCATTCACCACTACTTTCCAAGATCTTGGCAGGACATTTCTCATCAATTAGAATCTTATTTATCCATATCTTTGTTTTATGTTGGTGTATATCTGAAATTTAACCCTGAATTGACGCAACTAATAGGTAAGGAAGTTAGGTAATTCGATAAAGCACTAACCTTCGATAATACATTAAATGTAGATAAAGTGATATATAAAACTAAGCAAAATATTTTGCAAACGGATTTTGCTATGTAAAAATCATGTAGTTTTCCGTTATATATAATATATTCATGAATTATTTATATTTTATATTGATATTAATTTTTCGTATGATATAATTTGAGCCTTAGCTTACTGATTCATGGTATCCATTCATTCCTATCTAGTGCAATCAGGTGACTACTACAAAAAGTGCAAAGGTAAGCCTATTCTGTTATGCTAAATTAAGGGTCTCAAAAGATTTGAATGCCCTTACAGATGCATTGCGAAAGTCTGCATATTTAATTTATTAAATGGGTTTTCGTAGGTATTGTTCGTAATATATAAATAATTACAGTTTTAAGATGAGTGGAAATCACAAATAGGG